TAAAATGGGTCCTGCTAACATGACTGTAGCATGGTGTGGACAGGGTATAAGTATGAAAAAAAAACATTTTTCTTTTAATAGACTGAAGAATTGTTTCTAAAAACATGTTAACAAAGTTGTGACCTGGCCACATTGACGGCACAACTGCGTTAGCAGAAAACTATTTTTAAATGGTTTCATGCAGTTGGAAATATAGTATAGATAGGCCTTTTAAGATTCACTGAACCTATTCTACAGTTGTATGGATACCTGGAGTACTACAATGTGGCTGACTCTGCATGTTAATGTACAATGTGATCATATCCACAGAGTTCTGCAAGTTGGCTGACCTCATTGTTATGAAGGTGCAATCAACAGAGACTACAAGTTTCACAATCTAATACTCTGGGCCAGATCTCTGCTGGCATGAATTAGCAGAGTTTCATTGACTTCAAAGGAGCTATGCTCATTTGTACCACAAGTGCATGTGGCCCTCCATCTTGAGCTGAGTGTATTAAAGAGGAGAGTGGCTCCAATCTGCTCTCCTTTATTTAAGTTAGATATTGCCTTCATGCTGCTGGCAAGTTGCTGATGCAGCCGTTGGTTGACCAAATCATGGACTTCTGTGTTCTATCACTTCCAAGACCTTTCCATACAAGGATCTCAATGCACTTTACAAAAATTAAGCAAACAAAGCTTACCCATCCTTCTGCGGTAGGTATTACTATGCCCATTTTACAGATGTGTAAATTGAGGCATAGAGCGGGTAAGTAGCTTAAATGCTGTCCTGAACAGAAATGCATTTAAGTGTGTGTTTAGCTACTTCCTTAAATCTGGGGCCAAACGCTCTGTGAAGCAGCTATCTGTTGTTTGCAAAGCATCCCTATCAGTGGAAGCATCATCTACTGGGTATTGCAGATACTGTACAGCCTTCTCCAAAAACACCACATCTCTGTTGATCAGAGTGTTTCAATCTCTTCTCACAGTAGGCTGTGGACTGAGTTCAAAAAGTCAGAAGGTCATCAAGCTAGAAAACCAGCTTTTTTGAGACTCCCTCTGCACATCACATGCCATGTCTGCATTCGGCTCTCGTTACTTTATGCAGTCACTTCTTTTTTCCAAAAAAAGAACATCCTCAATCTGTTCATTGCTTTAGTTCATTTTAGGGCAACATAAACAGCTTTCAGTTCTTTACAATCCACACAAGCCTTCAGAAATATTCAGTGTTTACTAGGGCTCTGTAGTGTTAAATCAAGTATGACTATCACCCTTAAAAGCCTAAATGATGGAGTCATATCTATACTACTAACACATTTTGACAGTGTCACCACCTGCCTAAGTAAAAACAGTTTTCTCACCACTGTAAACCTAGAAGATGGAGTCACAAGTTACCAGAATTTCTTTTCAAAAGTTGGCATTGTTATTCGTAATACCCAGACTCTTAATTTACTCAATGGTATAAACTACAGTGTATCATTTAAAAGATAAACAGCTGGAAGGAATACCAGATTCATTCATTCTCTCTCATCCTCTTGGCCTGATAGCTGGAAGTGGATGGGAGCTGATATTAACGACGTGAGAAGAATCCTGAATAAAATCAGTAAGTGTTGAAAGCCACGAGTGTCTGATTACTTCCTTTGACCATGTGAAAACTTTCTCATAATTCTAACATGACAAAAACTTCAATAAAAAGGATGTTTCTATTCTGCCACTGGAGTTTAAGAATAGGGTTACAGAAAATCGTGATGTTTGCTCTTGCTAATTCCTTGCTAGAGATATTAGAAAACAGAAGTAAAATAATATTGTAATCTGAGTTTGGGAAGATCTCCTGGGTAAAGAATAAAAATCCTCTTTCCATTTACTTGGTACTCTCAGATTCCTTTATTTAGAACTGAGATTGACAAGCTACGCAGACCAGCAACTAACTACTACTGCAAGCCAATAAAAATAAAATGATCTAGAGAATACGAAATTAAAAAGTTGGCTAAATCTTACTACTGCAACTGACTTGGAAGGTTTTTAATTATTTATACTTCAGTTAAAATAGATCTTTAGTGATCTATCTTTAAGATGAACTAATGAGTTGTGTTTCTTTTTATTGTGGAGTCAAAATTTGGCAAAATGTGGATACTGCAGGACATTTGCTGCAGGGAGCTGTCCCATTCAGCACCATATTTGTACAGTAGACATTCAAAATGAAGCTCAAAAATACAAGTCAATCTTGCTTTCATTTGGGTCCTTTTTCTAAATAAATAGTCTCTACCAGGCTGACAGTCATTGTGATCATCAAAACTAATTTTACAGGGGCACTTAATGACTGGGCCGTCTTCGTTAAAACAGTATGTGCTTCTTGAATTCTACCTGGAAGGTTTTGAAGGAAGAATGAGATGTGCATGCAAGCAATGTGTGCAAGTTTAGAATAAAAACAGGAACAGCAACAGAAGATTAACCTGAACAGTTAATATTTCCGCACAATATAAGAAACAATACCATAGAGGGAAAATGCTTTAGTATTTCCTTTCAATGCCCAAGAACTTCTTAAGTAGACCAAAATTGAAAATGAGAAGCTTTTTACTGGACAATTAATCTTTTTGGATGAACAAGTAATGTATCCACAATATTTCAGCCACTCTAATTTTTACAGACAATTGTTATAAAAGATAACATCCCTGGGCAACTTATGTTTTGAATGGATTATGTGAAAGACAGAGTAGAAGAAAAGTAAGACCGATATAGTAACTAATTTATTAATAAACTTTTGGAATATTGATCACATATCCTGCCAGACAATATACTTATAAATACTTGTTAAGGTATTTCCACGTTGTGTCTTTCCACTGCATTGTTTCTTCCAGCCCTTGACGACTGCTATAGATATTGTAATGTTAAAAGAATGCTGACTTCCCAGAGTGCCTCAGCCCACTGACAAGAATGGTACCCAATGCAAGAAATGGGTACATGTCCAAGGCTATTGATTTTCTTAAACGTAGCTAAACTCTTCATTTTAGAAAACACCTAAGCATCGTGTAACTGACATTGTTGACTTAATAAACTTCAGCCTTCATTTTAGCAAAAGAAATTGGACTCTTCTGTATTTTTCATTAAGTCATTTCTATTGTATCTCAAAGGAAAACATTGATCCAACTTTCCTCAACTTCGGAAGCAAAAGCAAGTTTTAGTTTGTTTCCAGGCAAAATATTGTTTAAGGAAAAAAAACTCATTTACAATCCTTCATACCCATTACCAGCAAAGCTTAGTGACTGTGAAAATATTTAACTGTTGTTTACAGCAGGCATACAAAGTACAGTAAGTAAACGGACACATGTATCTAAATCATATAATAATCCATACAGACAAGATAGTTCAATGTTTTAATAGGCACCAATAAAAAAACTAAAAGATGCAAAATTGGGGAGAAGAAATCCCACTGAACAAAACAGGAATCTAGTTCTAGCTTTATAGAGCACGCACAATAACCGTATATTGCATGGCCTCCTATGAAATATTTATGTTTTCTATTCATAAAAAGATGTCTGGCAGTGGGGGAAAAACTAATCAATGAGATAAACAAAAGCAGAGACTATCTCTTAAAAATCTCATCATCTCCATAAAGAGAACTAGGCTTCACATTGTCAGATGATCTTTCAAAGAAAATGATTTGCTGCCCCAGGTAAGAAAGTCAAAATATAAATGTAAGTAAACACTTTTTCCTGACAGCTCAAAGGAGAGTGGATATTCTGCTGAAAACTGACAGTATCTTCAGGTGGTAATGTGCAAATTTGTTGTAACAAGCCCTAAACAGTCAAAAGATAGTGTCTGTCTTTATTAACAACAGTAAGCTGCTCTTTCATGTCCTGTTCAATATAATGCACTATCAACCATTCACTGAGCTGAAGTGACCTTCTCAGATCTCTACAGATGTTAAAGAGGAACATGTCCTGTGACAAGGACATATCAGCTGCCTCATTAAATGCAGCCTATTTAGTATAAAACAAGTAACAACGTAAACACTATACAGGCCAAAGCAACAGTGCTAGACATAGTTTCATCTGTAGATTACAGTCTTTAGTAGTCGGCCTGCTTGTTTTTATTTCAGGAAACAAAACTTTGTTTGGAGCATGCAGTTTTACTGGGGTGAAATATAGAACTGCAAAATGACAGCCTGTAGCTTTGTCAACATAATGTCACTCGACAGTCTCTGGAAACTTCATTTTGAAGTTGGGTAATGAATAAGGGCGAGCGATTGTCTTTATGTTTGTTTAATTGTTTACCCAAAAAATGCAGGCTCGGGTGTGACACACCACACCACTGTTCAAGCACCAGTCACTGCAATTGCAAAACAAAATTTCTGGAAAATAAGGGTAGTAAACAAGACAGCCACAGATAGAAACTACAACTGTATTCAGCGTCTCCTGGCACAGCACCCACCACTACCAACACAGTTTGCAAACAGAGAGAGACAACTTTTCCCATGATTAAATGAAGACTTATGATTAGCTGATGCAGGCTTCACTGCCATCATCATCAAATAGCTCTTTGCATGAGTTTCCCCCCCCCCCCAAAGTCTCTGAAGCTTGCAAGTGAAGGAGTGCCCAGGGTACAGTAAGTAGCAACGCCAGGAGTTGCAGAGAAGAATGGGTTGCACATCCCAGCCACCTGCCTTGGGGTTCCGGAGCAGAGTTTTAGCGTCTATTATCCTTCTCCTCCCCTTCCCCAGAGAGAGCAGGAATCTCGCTTGGTAGCCAACGCCAGCCCCCTTTCTACCCCCTCACCCAACTTCAGACACACGCTCCAGGTGCAACAGGACAAAGGCTGCGCCTCGGGGTGACTGGTGGGCCATCTCAAAGCCCCTGGAAAGACACTAGCTACACACCACAGGGATAGGGATAGGGATAGGAAGGGGTCCTGAGCGACTTCTGCCCTGTTTAACCCTTTGCATTCAGCAGCCCCCCAGCTCTGGGAGCTCCTGGCATCACTCCCAGGCCAGGGAGCGTGCGGGGCTAGGCAAGCCGGGCACTCACCGATAGTCGTGATGACTGTGATGGCAAAGTAGAAGGAGCCCGCGAATTTCCACTGGACCCCGGCCCGGTGGGGCTCGGACTGCATGATGACCAGCTCCAGCTGCCGGTAGTCCTCGCTGGTGATGTTGTACTTCCCTTTGAGCCGGATCTCCTCGGCTTTGAGCTTCTCCTCCTCCCGCATCTCGTTGTCGGACTCCAGGGCATCAAAGACGGCGGCCCCGACCAGCAGGTAGGTGAACGTGCAGATGATCAGGGACAGGGTCCGCACGTTCTGCCTCTTCATGGCCGCCAGCAAGGGGCGAGTGCGGGGACCATGTCCCCCCCTGGCCGTCCGGGGATCCGACAGGGTGCAGCAGCGGCAGCTGGCCGGGGGGAGCTGCAGGCAGCAGGGGGGCAGCTGCAGGGGGCGGCGGCGGCTGCTCCCAAGGCTCCGGGGCGGCTGCTCCCCGCCTCCCTGCTCGGGCTCCTGGGAGGACGACAGGCACAGGAGGCTGCTGGAGCGCCTGGACCAGGTGCCCTGCAGCCGGGAAACTCTACGCAGGACTTGCCCAAACCAAGCCGTCCCAGTGCGCAGGGCCATCCACAGCACCCCCTTAGCGCCTGCAAACCAGCGCCTCCCTCCCCGCTGCCTCCAGGAGTGGGCTGGGGGGGGGGGGAGGGAGAGACGACGCCCC